TGGACTTTATTGACAGAGCCAATGAGCCAGATGTATTTTCCCAGCTGTCACAGAAGCCATGATTTCATCACTAATCACTTCTCACGACTAACAGTTCAAGGCCTTGTCATTGTTTTGTCTGTGATTTCATAAAACCCAACAACACGGAAATTCCCCCTCCGTTGATATTAGCAGATGCCAGTTAGAATGAGGTTTAAGCGTTGACCTTTCACCTCACGAAAGGTAACAGTCTATGAACAGGAGATTTGACCAGAAATACTGTACGCCCTATTGATGATCTATTGTTTTATTTGAACAGAAATGAAAATGTTAGATGGATATTGTTTCTTTTTCTTTCTTTTTTGAAAGAAAATCAGTGATGATTTTGAAGTGTTGTGTATAGACGATCATACGTGGACATTTCCAATCTTTTATTTATACCAATGATAAATTATACATTTGTAATTCCACAGATACACTTTGACACTTAAAGGGACAGTACACCTAAAAATGAAAATGATGTCATCATGATTTACTCAAACCTGTATGACTTTCTGTCTCCAGAGAAAATATTTAGAAAACATCAATATATATGAAGACTTCAGATGTGCCATCTGAAATTTTCTTCTAAAATGAGCATTTTTATCAAGCTCGTATATTTAGGTTCAGTAATTTCACTTTAATGACAATTAATAGGTAATTTTCATTGCCATTAAAGTGAAATAACTGAACATAAAAATACAAGCTTGATCAAAATGATCATTCTAAAAGAAAATTTTTGATGGCACTTAGAGGCTTTTGCATCTGAAGTCTTCATATATATATATATATGATCACATAACAAATTTTGAAGTACAATCAACTTGGATGTTTAAGTCATTTCAACTTAAATTACATTAAACTGTCTTTAAAAACGAGTTGAATCTTGTATAACTTATAAAAAAAGTTGAAAATTATCATAACTTATTGATAATATAATTTCTATATATATAATATATATGTATATATATATAGTCATCAACAGAGTATTATATATTGTATATGTAGACCTTCGGTTGTACTTGGAATTTAAAATTGTTTTGGCCTTGAAAATCCATTTCTTTTTGACATTTATTACCTTGTTGCTAAAGTACAGGTTGACCCAACAATTGGCTGTCAAGTTTTACAGGCTCTCTTAATTTATTTTCTACACTAAGACATGCTTTTAAATCACACAGCTTGACAGTGCTGTTTACAAAGGGTTTAGTGCCTAAGTATAATTTTATTGCTGACAAAATCACTTTTGGAAACAGTAAGGAGCCAAATCCAGGGATCAGAATATCATATACATAGACTTGGAGATGGACCGAACGGCATAAAATAACAGACATGCTAAATTATCCTTCAAAGACAGCGTGTCTGAATGAAAAATGATTCACAGTTCACAATGTGAATAAAACTGGATTTACCAGAAAAGATTTGTGAACATGAACTTGCTGTAAAGCTGTTCCTCATTTCACTTTCCAACCCTTTTCTCTGTTCCTCTGAGGAGTGCATTCCACTGTGTCTCGGATAGGTACTTCCCCATCTCTAAACCAGTGCAGTAACAAAGCTTTATGTCACGAGTCACGACACAGCTATTACCACACAGGCTATCTGACATGCCTCATGTGTGCAGTATGCAGTTTTTCATGTTCTATCATGGTGACAAAGATCCTAATAAAATGTGTAAAACAATATCCAGTGAAAGGGATGATATACAAGCATCATTGACTCGTCGTCGTATAAGAAATCAGACTCAAAGCCATTTTTATTAAAGGATTGGTTTTATTCTAATAATAACGTGGAATAATAAAAAATATATAATATATACGGCAACGTAAAAGTGGTCTAAAGTCTTTAGCTTTAGTTTTTTTTTTTTGGGGGGGGGGGGGGGGGTACAGTTCTTGGCCCCACTTTATATTAAGTGTCTTTAACTATGTACTAACATGTTAATTAATCATTTACAATGTACTTATTGTGTACATGTACGTGTTATTACATTATACTTACACTCACCGGCCACTTTATTAGGTACCCCATGCTAGTAACGGGTTGGACCCCCTTTTGCCTTCAGAACTGCCTCAATTCTTCGTGGCATAGATTCAACAAGGTGCTGGAAGCATTCCTCAGGGAGTTTGGTCCATATTGACATGATGGCATCACACAGTTGCCGCAGATTTGTCGGCTGCACATCCATGATGCGAATCTCCCGTTCCACCACATCCCAAAGATGCTCTATTGGGTTGAGATCTGGTGACTGTGGAGGCCATTTTAGTACAGTGAACTCATTGTCATGTTCAAGAAACCAATTTGAAATGATTAGAGCTTTGTGACATGGTGAAAGTAGCCATCAGAGGATGGGTACATGGTGGCCATAAAGGGATGGACATGGTCAGAAACAATGCTCAGGTAGGCCGTGGCATTTAAACGATGCCCAATTGGCACTAAGGGGCCTAAAGTGTGCCAGGAAAACATCCCCCACACCATTACACCACCACCACCAGCCTGCACAGTGGTAACAAGGCATGATGGTTCCATGTTCTCATTCTGTTTACGCCAAATTCTGACTCTAACATCTGAATGTCTCAACAGAAATCGAGACTCATCAGACCAGGCAACATTTTTCCAGTCTTCAACTGTTCAATTTTGGTGAGCTCTTGCAAATTGTAGCCTCTTTTTCCTATTTGTAGTGGAGATGAGTGGTACCCGGTGGAGTCTTCTGCTGTTGTAGCCCATCCGCCTCAAGGTTGTGCGTGTTGTGGCTTCACAAATGCTTTGCTGCATACCTCGGTTGTAACGAGTGGTTATTTCAGTCACTGTTGCCCTTCTATCAGCTCGAACCAGTCTGGCCATTCTCCTCTGACCTCTGGCATCAACAAGGCATTTCCGCCCACAGAACTGCCGCTCACTGGATGTTTTTTCTTTTTCGGACCATTCTCTGTAAACCCTAGAGATGGTTGTGCGTGAAAATCCCAGTAGATTAGCAGTTTCTGAAATACTCAGACCAGCCCTTCTGGCACCAACAATCATGCCACGTTCAAAGTCACTCAAATCAACTTTCTTCCCCATACTGATGCTCGGTTTGAACTGCAGGAGATTGTCTTGACCATGTCTACATGCCTAAATGCACTGAGTTGCCGCCATGTGATTGGCTGCTTAGAAATTAAGTGTTAACGAGCAGTTGGACAGGTGTACCTAATAAAGTGGCCGGTGAGTGTATATTTAAAGAACGTTTCCCTTACACCTCAACCCACCCCTTAACCTATACCGCCAAACCTGTCCCTAACCTTATTTGGTCAGGTTACACTTTATTTAGTAACACTATAGGGTCCAATTCTCTCTATGAACTAGTTGCTTATTAACATGCATATTATTGGCTGTTTAATAGTACTTTAAAGCACATATTAATGCCTTATTCGGCATGATCATATTCTACATCCCGTAATCACCCACTACCTAAACTTAACAACCACCTTACTAACTATTAGTAAGCAGGAATTAGGAGTTTATAGAGGGAAACATCATTAAAAGTGAATATGTGTTCCCCAAAGTGTGACCCTTTATTTTAAGGTGCCAATGTTACAGTGTAATTATAAAATTAAGTAGGCCTACTAAGTAATATCAAATAACTATACTGTACTTACTATAGGGTTAGGGTTAGTATTAGGGTTTGATTTATGGTTAGTTTCTTGTAATCATCCATAATTTACTGTCATGTGACATGTAAAAAAGTGTTACCCTTACCCGTATCCCACCTTAATAGCAGCAAAAGTGTTTTACAATACACAACATGTACATAACAATTATGGTTATTATTATTATTATTATTTATGTAAGGACATAGTAGTTAAATACCCCTTATATAAAGTGTGACCAGTGGTTTTATTGAACAGGAAAGCAGATAGACAAGACTTTTTAGGGAGAGAGAAGAGGAGGAATCGGATCAGGATCTGATAGTGGACTCATTGCTGTCAATCTGATGTACTAGTGGAAATCTATCATTCAATACAATTCAGTTGAAATGACTTAAATTCAAACTCTGTTCTGTCACAAAATTGTTAGTCTTGTGCTCCATGAGGACATTACATGAGATAAATGAGAAAATAACATAGAAGGGGAAAAACAAACGTTTGGGGTTGTTTAGATTTTCTAATGGTTTTGTAAGAAGCTCATCTGCTTCTGTATCAAAAATACAGTAACATCAGCGATATTGTGAAATATTACAATTTAAAATAACTGTTTTCTGTGTGAATATATTTTAAAATGTCATTTATTCCTGTGATCAAAGCTGAATTTTCAGCATCATTACTCCAGTCTTCAGTGTCACATCAGAAATCACTCTAATATGATGATCTGATGCTCAAGAAACATTTATTATTATTAGTTATCAATGTTAAAAACAGTTGTGCTGCTTCATATTTTTGTTATGAATGTTTTTTTTTTTTCAGGATTCTTTGAAAAGTTTTTACACCTTAAACGATTAGAAGCCGCCGTCTCAGTCTTTTCCTTTGAATGCTAGTGGTTATACAAATAAACATGACCATCTGCTTCAGTAGATCTCAAGTAGTTCATCCATTTCGGATCATGGCACGTTAAATAAATGGGTTATGATGGTTATCCTGACATATCAACACCATAATCATATCAAATGCAATATTTCAGACAGGGATAAGAGATTTTATCTGGATGCGTGTAATGCACTAATTACCTCAATAATCCCTGTGGCGGTTATAAGTCAAATCCCACTTTTTAGGACACAAAGTATAACAATACAGACCAAATGCCCAGAAGGCTTTAATACAGACAGAGCAATGGGGAGTGGTTGTAAGACGCGCTCATACCGTTAAACCCAGATGAATGTTTGATTAATAGAGATTTGCATTTTGATGATGGAAGGTTGGCTCAACGTTAGTATTCCAGTAGGAGGTGGGGAAAGCGAAGAGAGAGAGAGAGAGAGAGAGAGAGAGAGAGAGAGAGAGAGAGAGAGAGAGAGAGAGAGAGAGAGAGAGAGAGAGAGAGAGAGAGAGAGAGGAGTATATAAAGGGTCAGATCAGGCGACAGGTGTGTATTACAGGTGATGCACAGCTCAAACCTCACTATCAAGCTCTTGTTCAGCAGTCATAGGCTTGTCCACGTTTCTATTGCAACACATTAATAGTCGACTCACTCACTGGAACTACATTGAGGTAACTGGATATTCATGATGCTTCTGTAGTTATTTGAGCGTATTCATTTTACAGTTGTTGTTTTTTTTCCGTTTGTTTCAGTTTCTTAGCTCACTCTGAGATATGTTTCAGAAAGTGGTCAAACTGCATTCTAACAGCATTCTGTTCATTCTTTGCAGTGACCCAATACAGTGTTATATACGGTGTATAGCCACAGTTAAATCCAGAATACTCATTGGTTTTCGTTTTTATAGTTCCATGGATGACGTTATTACATTTGAAATGAAATGGTGTAAGAATGAGGCTCTGTGCTCTGTTATTGATGGAAAAATATTTTTTTATCTTCTACTAATGTAGAAAAAGTTTTTTTTGTAGTTCTTTGTGGTATAAAAGGTAAATGTTAAATTGTAAATGTTGATTTGTTGGAAAAAAAAAATTCATGTGAAAAATTGGAATAACGTATTTTTTCGTTTGTGCTCATGTGCTGTTCGAGTTTGTATACTTATCTGACTTTTTTCTTTTCTTTCAGATGTTGGCCCTTGAAACCGTGAGTATTTATTTATTTATTTTTCTGGGTGGGGGTGCATGACAAATGACTTTCCAGCTCTGCAGGATCTCATATTATATATATATGCACTATGCTATATTAAACACACAAGTGTGCATATCAGCTCTCTTAAATGGCTTTTGAATGCCACTGTTGTATGACTGCTTATTGGTGCTGAATGGAACAATCATTATTCCTGAATAATATCATATCTGATCTACACATATGAATGCAGAAAGTTTTGATGTACATTCAAAGTGTTGCATATGTTGTATGGAAATATGCTGGTGTACAAATGAAAGTAAAATGACACTTAGTTTTATTTTTTGTTGCTTAATGCAATGACATTCAGACATTTAAAGTGTGGCTTAAATGTCAAAATGCTGTTGGCAAAATATATTATGCTTATTATATATATATATATATATATATATATATATATATATATATATATATATATGCATATTATCACCACTAAAATGTTTACTCACACTCACAATCCAAATTATTATCATTTTTACTGAGAAGAGGGAGATTCACTTTCTAGTCATGCAAATCGTTGCGGCTTCCTTCCAATATTCCTGTTAAACAGTTGTAACTATAAATTATTATAATTGTGCTCAAAAGTTTACATACCCTTGCAGAATTTGCATTATTTGTTTATTAGAATTTTAACAAAATAAGAAGGGATCATCAAAATTGCATGTTATTTTTTTTATATTTAGTACCTGAATAAGATATTTAACATAACCTATGTTTACATAAGTCCACAAGAAAAAAATTATTATAGTTGAATCTATACAAATTATCCCATTCAAAATTGTACATGTGCACTTGATTCTTATGCTGCGTTCTAGGCAGGTTTTTGAGCACGACTTCAAACCACGACTCACGACTTTGTAGCGTTCCAGGCCAGTCACGCCAAACTACCTGAGCGCAAGGAATTGTGGTAGCTAGATGTAAACAAACCATTGTTGTTTTGAATGGTTTCGCGGGCTATGTGACGTCAGAGCTGGTAACTGGGAGTACATCGATCTAGTACGAGTTCACGGGTGGGAAGTCACGGGTTTGACTGCCGTTCCAGTGCACTTTCACGGGTATAAGGTTGGAAAAACACGGGTTACAGGTTGCCTGGAACACGGCATTAATACTGTATTTCATTATTTGGATGATCTGCGGCTGTTTTCATGTTTTGTGATGGTTGTTCACGAGTCCCTTGTTTGTTCTGAGCTCTTTTCTTCAGGATAATAGGCCTACTCCAGGTCCTGTACTCTCTTTGCTTTTCCAGAATCTTTTGCATATTTTAAACTTTTTCACACTGATGACAATTGAGGGTCTTTTTAAACTTTTTGATTTGGATGATTAGGGTAAATAGTTTTTTTTAGTTTTTTTGTCTGTCTTCTGGAAAGCATATTATTATATTTTGTATGGTAGTACTAAATGAAAAATAACATGCAATTTTATGATCCCTCGATTTGTTAAAATTATTACAATTTTTACAGATTCTGCAAGGGTTATGTAAATGTTTGAGCAAGACTGTATACTGTCAATTTTTTTTAAATGTAATTTTTAAATGTGTTGTTCTTTGTATCTACAAAAAGGAAATAAAATTGTCTCTCCTAAACATGAAAGCAACTCGAAAGAATGAAACTGAAATAGTTAACATTATTCAGAGCCGGACAGTAACGGAGTACATTTACTTGAGTACAGTACTTAAGTACAATTTTGAGGGATCTGTACTTTACTCGAGTATCATTTTTGGGGAGTACTCATGACTTTACTCAAGTACATTTGAGAGGCAAATATTGTACTCTTTACTCCAATACATTTCTATCCATAACCGTGAGTACCCGAGTAAAAAAAAAAAAAAGGTAAAGAAAAATGTTGTTGTTTCCCTCTCAAACGTGATTGGATTGTGCAGGCGCCACTGATTGGGACAGCCTATCAGCAATCACTTTCAGCTTTCCGCCAAAGTCAACTCCATGGTCAGATTTTATATTACACATTAATGTAAGCCAAGTATTTGGTTTGATGTTCTTGAGTATGTGGTGTGTTTAACACAGTCAGGTTCAAATGTGGCAGTGGCGTAGCCACGAGGGATTTCTGGTTTCTTAAAAGAAAAACTTTAGGAGGCAAAATATATTTTTACTGATTATGTGAATTACACTGCGCAAACCAAAGTAGGCTACTACCCAGCGAATGAAGAAGGGTTGGCGCTCAGTCTCCACAGTAAAATATGAATTTTGTTTTATTTTATTTTTCGGGTTTGCATTTATGAGGAAAAAACAATGTTATGGACGTGTTCTCCGTTACGGACGTGAGCGCTCTGAAAGCGGCATAAAAAATGCTTTAAAACTTTCACAGAGACATCAAACAGAAAACACAAAACCTTTATTTAACCTGAATTTCGTTTTGCATTAATTGTATCTTAATTTGAATCAATGTTTCATCAACCAATTGCCTGGGTTTAATAAATAAGAAGTAAATAGCAGACGATAGATAAGAAACGGAGGCGCCGGCACGTGAACTGGATCTCGTCTCATAAATGAACCGAAACTCAGTGTATAAGGTAGCCTACTTGCCTCTCACAGACACGTCTACTTTTAAACAGAAAAATTCAAAACGAAAGAAAACAGACTGCTCTCTGCTTATGTAATCCGTATGAAATATGCATTTCTCTCTGCCGCGTTCACTACTGAAGATCGCGAGTCAGCATCGTCAACTTCATCTAGCCGACACTGACAAAGAAAACACTTGTTTATTAACAAGTGTTTATTAATAAACAATTAAAATATCTCCTTGCTATATTTTACATATTCATAATCATTCCTTTTGCCTGTTCTTTGTGACAACTTTTAGGTGCTTTATTGGCAGCGCCACCCTTACATGTGGTGTGTGTGTGTGTGTGTTGTCCCCACATTTAAAGATGGGACCCCCAACAAATTTAATTAAATTAAATAAAGCAACATGGTAAAAAGATGAAAATGACTTGATTTTACTTTCAATTCCTTTTACATTCTCCAAGGTATTAACATTAACATTTTTCATAACTCCATGCAGGACGTTTCTGTGCATAAATGTAAGCACTGTGGCAGTAGATTAGTAATGCAATATTTATAAAATCTACTCTTGTACTCTTGATACTCAAGTACTTTTAAAAACAAGTACTTTAGTACTTTTACTTAAGTAGACATCTGAATGTAGTACTTTTACTTGTACTTGAGTAAAATTTAGCAAAGGGTATCTGTACTTTTACTCAAGTAACAAAGCTCTGTACTCTGTCCGCCTCTGACATTATTTTACCCATTATTCCACTGATGCTCATTGTGTATGTCTATACTGCATCTGATTTAATGCTTGCTTACAATGCATTGAATTACCTACAGGTTCAATACTTCCAAGACCTGGGCCCTAGAGAGGCGTTGTCAGGGAACCTGGACCTCGACATGATTGAGGAATACCTGCAGGAGCACTCGGTGGAGGTGATGTCAGCGCCGTGTGTCCAGAGGAGAAACCAAGAGGAGCACAGTATGGCAGGTGAGTGTTTTACAATCAAAACTAAAACACCATAGGAGACCACTGAGGGAAGGGTTACTTCTCCTTTTTGAATTGAATGGAAGTGCACTTTCAGTTTTGTAAGGTTAGTAATTTCCTCTTTGACAAAGCTTTGTTATTTGTATCAAGACATGGATTTCCATACCTCAGGTTATAACAGTTTAGTTTAGAGAGGAGAAACTGTAAAAACAGTGGGAATTTAGCAATAAAAAGTACTTACATAAAAAAAAAAAAAAAAAACCTGTATAAACACAGTCACACAGTTTTTAAACAGGGGCATGTTCAAGTTCAAAACGGTGCGCAACGTTTTGCTACGGTTTCCGGGTTGAACGTCATGTTTCCTGGAAACGGCGTGCACCGGTGTGCAACGGGGTTTGAGATGCGTTTTCTCTTGTTTGGTGGGCGTGTCAGAACTGCAGTCCAATCAGCAGCAACATGTGTATAACACACGGTATTAAAGAGAACTCGCACAATGGGTTCAAGGAAAGTAATTTAGTGTGTTCGATGCAGCTCGGTATACGCAACAACTGAGGATATTAGAAGACATGTTTGTCGTAAGTTTTATTATAAAAATATAGGATATCAACATGATGTAGTTGTTTATATTTTTACCTTCATTGCAAGTGGATGACATTTGGTATAGAAATAAACAATGGTAATTAAGTGTTTTTCCTAAAAATGAGAAAGAACATACAGGGTATTAAAACTGTATGAACTACGAATAAAGTCAGTATGTGAGGCTAAATAGATGTGTTTTAGTCTGAATTAGGTAAGATGTGCTTCCATTTCAGTTTCCACAAATCCCTTCACTCGATTGGGATGTTCTCTTGTGTTCTGGGCGGCAAGTGCAGTAACTGTAACATCGGGCATATTTTGTAGTGTTAAACACATATTTATACCGACTTCATCAGGCTCCGAAAATTCTTCCCAAAGAACACAAAGGATGGCCTTCTCAGCTGCCGTAGTTGCAACTCTTGCGTCATCACAACAGTGCGTTCAACGCATCACCGTTTCTGTTTTTAAACAGAAACGGTGATGCGTTGAACGCACTGTTGTGATGACGCAAGAGTTGCAACTACGGCAGCTGAGAAGGCCATCCTTTGTGTTCTTTGGGAAGAATTTTCGGAGCCTGATGAAGTCGGTATAAATATGTGTTTAACACTACAAAATATGCCCGATGTTACAGTTACTGCACTTGCCGCCCAGAACACAAGAGAACATCCCAATCGAGTGAAGGGATTTGTGGAAACTGAAATGGAAGCACATCTTACCTAATTCAGACTAAAACACATCTATTTAGCCTCACATACTGACTTTATTTGTTGTTCATACTGTTTTATTAATACCCTGTATTTTCTTTCTCATTTTTAGGAAAAGCACTTTACATGCATTGTTTATTTCTATAGCCTACCAAATGTCACACACCTGCAATGAAGGTAAAAATATAAACAACTACATCATTATGTTGATATCCTATATTTTTACAATAATACTTACGACAAACATGTCTTCTAATATCCTCAGTTGTTGCGTATCAAACACATTTGTAAATTACTTCCATTGTGCGAGTTCTCTTTAATACCGCGTGTGTTATATACATGTTGCTGCTGATTGGACTGCAGTTCTGACACGCCCACCAAACAAGAGAAAACGCATCTCAAACCCCGTTGCACACCGGTGCACGCCGTTTCCTGGAAACATGACGTTCAACCCAGCAACCGTAGCAAAACGTTGCGCACCGTTGTGATCTTGAACATGCCCCTGATCTATCTTCTCCACATCCTCCATTGGTCAGTCAGACAGCTAGCCCCGCCCCCAAACTCACACGATTGGCCGAGCTGTTGCTGTGTCAGGCTGGTCAGATGCTCAAGTAAACAGCAATGTTTTGAAAGTACTACAGATAAACAGTATTACACTTTTCATGGGAATCAACCTACAAATGTTATTTGTTGCTGTCAGTTAAGTTGGATATAGGATAAAGTGCTTTATCATCCAAAATAACCACAACTTCTTACAGCTTGTATGTGTTGTTGATTGTAGCGAGCAGCATATGTGATAATAATGATTGGTGTGTTTCCATAGAGAACAGCTGGTCTGGTCGTTATGCATATGAATGGCATTATAGTGCAGTACCAGGAACAGATGAGACTCATGAACAACAGCCTCAGCAGCAGCAGACGTGGCTCTCTCAGTCAAGTCACAACGAGTGGGTAGGTCTCACCAGACATAAACACTAATAATATTACAGTCATATGTTGTTCTGTATGTAGTTTGACCTATGCGTGGATGTTAATAGCAGTCTACGTTTTAGGGACACTGCCAGTATGACAGAAACCAATGCAGTGATTCAGATTCGCTGTCCACCAGTTCTGGATGCCTAGACTTTCCCCCATCTCCGACCTCTGACAGGAAGATTGTGTATGACTCTATGGCACTAGCGCCGCTCTCAGGTAAAATTTTGATTTTGATTTTGGGACAGTCGATTCGTTTTAGTGAGTCAGTTTAAAATGGACTGGTTAAAATAATTAAAAGGTAATGTTTCACCAATAAATTATATATTCTAATAATGTACTCACCCTCGAGTTCTGTGGAACACAACAGATTGTTTGAAGTCAATGGGGTCCAAACACAACTTCAAATTAAAATGGGCATAAAATCCCACTTACATTGAGGAGTCATATCGAGAGAACTGAATATCATCGAGACAGACTTGGCTGGGCTCTTTTGACTTTATTTAGTGTCAAATGTTGTGTTTATGTTTCCAACATGTCAGCCACCTTGTATTTATTCTTCCAAATAGAGTTACCCTTACAGTCAAGTGATTTAAATAGGCTTTGGTTGGATAGAGTTGGACATTATACCCAGACAGCAACATAGTGTTGGCCCAGATCCGGCCCACAACTGGTACAAGTGGATTCCACACGTACCAGATGTGGGCCAGATCTGGGCTGAAACTATGTTGCTATCTGGGCACTACATAGGATAATTTTCAATAATAATAATAGGCCTTGATAATAGACTGTGCGTTGGTCTTTCAATTACTTGAGTAATTACATAGAAACACAAACAGACAGATAAATAGACAGATGCGTAAATGTTACATTCTGCTATTTAACAGTCACTAAACCATTGACATTTCTCAGGTAAAAGGAAAGAGCGCCTGTTCCAGTTCTTATATGAGATGCTACAGACACCAGACATGCGGAGCTGCATTTGGTGGGTTCAGTCTAACAGCGGCACGTTCCAGTTCTCCTCCCAGAACAAGGAAAAGCTGGCAGAGATGTGGGGCAGACGCAAGGGCAACCGGAAAACCATGACGTACCAGAAAATGGCCCGTGCCCTGCGAAACTATTCGCGAACAGGAGAGATCTGCAAAGTGAAGCGTAAACTTACCTATCAGTTCACTGAGAGAACACTGAGAGGCCTTCAGAACAACTCGCAGAGACTCATGGGTAGTTAATGTGCTCCATCCACCAAGACTTTCTCCTAGCTGGGAAAGAGTAAATAAATACTGAGTATTTTACACAGGATGGTTTTGCCTTTTTAATGTTCATAATGTAATGTGGACTTAAAACACTGATTTTCTACTATTATTTGGCTTAATTGAGGCTCAATTGAACTTGGGAATTTGTATGTACACTAACATTGAATAACATGGAATTCTATGAAGTTGATCTTTGAAATATGTAAATCTGAGGATTGTTAACCATTACACTGCGTTATATGTAGTTATGAATCCGTTTTTTATATATAAAATATGTGCCAATTTTTGTGCTAATTTTTAATGCCATTAAATGTTGACACCTGATGTGTCTGAATATATTAATCTGTACATGCAAAGTTGTATTTTTGACAATGCAGTCATGTTAATCTTTTTAATTTATAAATTACATTGTGAAAATGTTTTGTTCATGATCAGATTTTTTCCCCAAGTATTAATGTGACTGAACCGACCAGACAGCACATGTAGCTCAGTCATGAAACTCTAGATGGCGCAAGCTAATCCTTTACATGCAATGTGCTAGCAATTACAACATTTACTAAATGGCATACAGCTGATTGGCTTCTGCTGATTCTGCAGCCAGTGAGATTATTTAAATCTGGTTTATTGTTTGCTGTAAGCTGGTCCTGTAGTGCACTATTAAGAGTTCCTCTGAAACCCTCCACCTCCCCCAGCTCCACCTGCCTAGATCTGCTATGGGATTTATGAATGTCTATTTATGCAGCAGCAGAATCTCTGTTTATATAATGGCAATAGCAACACTCTGCAGCAGCAGCAGTGTAGATCTAGTTCACCAAGACCAAATACATTTACATGCGTAAACTATTCAGAGACTTGTTGATTAATGATTAAAATTGGGTTACACCAACAACTCTTACGAGTAAGAGTCAACCACTTTTAATAAGTTTGCAACTGTCTGTTTAAATGTTACAGTAAATTACATGCACATTTACCATGATAATACAAAGTATTAAAAAAAAATATTTTAAAGAATAAGTTTGTATAACAGTGATTTATGCTCACACAACATGGTGTTAACAATGAAATACTTTTTTGTTAGTGGAAGAAACAATATGCTGTAAGGTAAACATTTCAATGGCATCAATATTCCGTGGAAATTGAATTCTGAAACGCAGTCACATGCATCTACTGTAAACATGGGCTCTGTTTTTAGCATCTGAATATATATATATATATATATATATATATATATATATATATATATATATATATATATATATATATATATATATATATATTTGACAACCTCTTAAATTCTCACACTGATAAGCCTCACCATGAGGAGCTCACACAAATGAGAATATCTCTGACAATATCCCTGTGCTCCATCTGATGGCAGTTTACCACATGCCCACCATGTACATATTCACGCACATATGGCCACATATGCAAAGCATGTGTACTCTGGAAACCGCCACTACAACAGAACTGTTAATGATTGTCGAGTAGAGAAAGATGTTGTTTGTCTCATGCCAGTGGCTTTCTGTTAAAACCACACAAACTGTTACAATTAGAGTCTAATTAATTAGACCTTAAAATATAAAACTATGTATGCAATTTTGTATGAAACTTAAGTTGCCAAATTACTGTTTACAGTACTGTTGTGTAAAATCAATGTTAGTTTTGCAATCATGTTGAAGCACTAATTATGACGTTCATTTAGGATCTAAAATGAACATTTTGAAATGAATGATGAAGCTGTATTGTGCTTTTTTTTATTTATTTTTTATTCTTGCTTATTCCTTGAATGTTAGTGACAAACTGTGCAGGTCATAGTGTTACTTTATAGATTCTTATATGAAGTTTTAATGATAAATATCCCAGTTAGAAGTTATAAAAGTGTATATTCTGACAGTTGTTTTTTTGATTTGTATTTGAAATGAGTTGCATAATAAAAAATAAAAAATAGCTACTAAAAAGTGTTCTCTACATAGACATCATGATGTACAACCCTGGTGCTCAAACATGTAGAAACATCATACAGAGAAATGCTGTTTTTATTTCAATACAGAATAAAAATAAAAAAAGCAATATTTAAACATGCTTAAATACATTCTTCAAAACCGTCCTAAAATTTTATTCAATTGTAGTATTATACAGTCTACGTTTTCATCATTTTTCAAAATATTGACTTATTTTTTATTTATTTATTAAGTCTAAAATTCATCATTATGAAATGTTTAAACATTGACTAAAATAGATTTAAAATATTTCGATTTTCATTAAAAAAAATATTTTAGATTTATATCAAAGACAAAATCTTAAACACAAAAACTGTGTAAAAAATAACAATTTCTGTCGAGTCAGTTTTTTCGAGTCAGTTTTTTAGCCAGTTCTTTGAGGAGAACTGAATCTATTGTCTGGTCATTTTGGCATTTCTCAAACCTGATCTTTAAGTCTTTTCAGTTCTCCCAGTCATTCATCTCCTTAAAAGAGATTCCACTGCTTCATTCTCTGACCATAACTGTCTGTCCATCGGAGCCTTTGGCTGATGAAGACTCAAACGCAGCACTGCCCCCTGTTGTCCGTAGGAATTCAAAACAGTCACTTCTTTTAAATGAACAAGATGCATAATGAACACTGACCAGCAGATGGAGGGAGTGAAATGTCAGCAAGGTCCTAATAATCAAGGGGGTAATCCATCAGCCGGAAGTTGAAGCTGCCTCCGGGGGCCGCCATTGTAGCTGGCTATCACCTGCTGTTAGCATCCCATTGACTCCCATTCATTTTGGCGTCACTTTGACAGCGAATAACTTTACATCTGAGGCGTCCAAAGACTCCATTTGTCCACTATTTATTTCTAAAGAAACACGACAATGTATAAAAGGCTCCATTACCTTGTATCTTACATTATGGCCCCATAGAAGCCATTCTTGTAAAAATAGGCTAACGATTGCGTCATAACCACTGGACGCTCTGTCGCACAGTAGAGAAATTACCGTATAGATAGAAGTAGAAGCTCGTAGGCAATCGTTTACTGTCTATGAGGCAATCGGGGGGACATGGAGGCATAAAGTCAAGGGGGAAGCCCATAGATAGAGAGTTCATAAAAGCAACGGGACAAAATATTTCAACAACAGATTTGTTTCAGATTTCAATTCAGATTTGACCCGGCACAGCTACTAGAAGGTCTGAACGGTTGCTCACGTGACAACTACGTCGTCAAGCTCAGTTTGAGCCTGCGCAGTGCGCTTGGCTATCAGGAAGTGAGTGCCCATGTTGGGCTTCAACTCTCTCCGTTGAAATCAACGGGGTCGCTGTGTCCATTTCTTTTACTGTCTATGCTAATAATAGAGAGTAACAGAAGATTGTGTAATCAGAACAACAACACTGAAAAACATGTCCTTTTGATGTCTTATCCCAAATTTCTTCTGACCCAGGAGGACCTTGCAGTGAGACTTACTCTTGATATGAGAAATGTATCATTAACAGTGATCACAACCAGAAACCCGTTGCATCAGCTGTGTGTGTGTGTGTGTAACAAATATTCTGATTGGCAAAAAATTTAACTCAAGTGTTATATTTCCCTGTTCTTTTTTGTAGGATTTAGATTTCAGCTTGTCCTTGTTTGGTCTTTAATGAGATCTCACCTCATGAGAATACTGATTTAGAGTTCTTACGGGTCAAATACAAGTTTCCTGTCATAGGAAAATGTCTGCACACCACTATAAACGATAGCACCCTCAGTTGCCACACTTCATTTGACTTTAAACTCGTAGTACGGGCGCAGAACAGTCTCATGCCTGGAGGAAAGAAACTTTTACTGCTATTGAAGGAGGGCCATGTCCCCTAATCGACTTCTCCGATTACACCTTATGGGTGTGTGGATCCTCCTTCACCATGGGAGTTGTCGAGGTGGACAACATCTCTAACTCCCCCGATCCAGTACCATCTCCAGCAGCCATCTTCCTGCCCGCTCCAGACCAGAAGCCAGAGTCATCATCAGAGTCCGGAGCTTCTCGCTGAGGCTGATCAACTCTCAGAGCCAGAAGAGGAGCTATGGCTCATTGATTTGTGGACCACGGAGCCAGTTCCTAACCAGAGTCCCCACCCCCGATCTCATTCCTCCTCAGCCAGTCCCATTTGGCTTCTTGGATGAACTGGTCTCATCTGGAATCCTTCACCCCTCCACTGGCTCCACTCCACTGGCTCCATCCACTACCCGGGATCCCCCTTGTCTGCTGGTGCCGTTCAACTCTTCAGCTCCGCCCTATCCACATCTCCAGCACTTTGGCTCCGCCTTGGGCCTCTCTAACACCATCTTGGCCTTGTGAGGTGGATTCCCTAGCTCATCAGTTCCCAACAGGGGGGTCGCGGCCCACAAGGGGGCCTCAGCGAGCTCTGTGGGGGGTTGCGTCATATTTTGAAAGGTTTGAGCAATGAGCATTAAATAAAAGTCCTTAACTTTTTTCTGTTCAAAATTTACAAAATTTATATAATGAGCGAGTTCATCATGAATCCATTTTCCAATCCGTGTTTTTGTCTTATCCTGAACCACTATGGTACAACTATAATAAGTGTTTACATTGGGACTATTTTACACTGGTTCGTATCGCTGCCGCTGCGGAGTAGCCCAGTACCTGCGTGACTCGTCATAGACGTACACAGAGAGAAGTAGTTCCGGCTACAATGTTCTTCCGAAAGACGCATTATTCTGTTAATAAACGCAAGTTTATTATCGCTCGCTATAGCGCCAAAAACGTAAAAAATAAAGCCTCACATTGATAAAGCATCACAAATAACATGCAAGTAGTGAGGCCCCAGACAACAGTCATTTAGTAATAGCCTATATTCTTTCTTTTTTTTACCTACACACCATTGTGAATATTTTTGTTTTTGCATTTCAAATAGGGCTAATTTATAGGCTTCTCCTAGGCTTACGTTTTTAAATTACAAAGGGCCTGCTGATGTTTTTGTTATTGTATTTTCAATATTATAGGCTATTATTTGTGCATAAACATACCGTTTGTTTGAAAACAACATGTTTTGTCATCCTTGCTGCAAGCTTACAAGAGCGATAATTATTAAATGTGAAGGGGGGGCCTAAAATATTTTCTTGAGAAAAAGGGGGTCTCAGACAAAAAAAAGGTTGGGAACCACTGCCCTAGCTCCACCTTGGATCTCTGGGCCCATGACTTCACCTCGGTCTGTTAGTCCCTCTGCTCCGCCTTGGCTCCACGCTCACTCTGGTTCACCGTGGTCTGTCATTACTTGGGCTCTCTCAATCCTCCGGCTCTGCCTCGGGTCCATCGTTGTCCTGGTTCTGCCATAGA